TTCAATTTGACCAGAGTGCTTTCAGCTAGCCGCTCAGATCTACCAAAATCAAACGTCAATTCCTCGCAGTCATATAATCCCCGATCCAAATTATGGTGACGATCCGAAAGACATGGTCAACCTTTGTCCTGCAAAGAGTGAGTGTCGTTTATCTTTACTCGTGATTTTATCTGTAAGCTTATACGGCTAGATGGCAAATGTGAATTTGAAAGGGGGAATTTGAATTCACCCTAGTAAGGATGGTGCATTAGAGATGTTCACACTCAAAAATCAAAATTTGCTTACATATGAGCTATGGCTCTCAAAGCTCGTTACGTGGAAGAATTTGCAATCGCAACTTTTCCTCGAAACTCTGCAATGAACTTTTTTGAATTTATTTTAAAGCAAGAAACACCGCTTGTAGGAATTGCTCTCTCCCGTAGTGAAATTTCTGAACAGCACGACTATACTGAACAGCGACCCTCCATCACTACGGAAAGATTGATGATGAATGTTTAGAGACTTCGGTACCAACGATCATGATCGTCATCATCGGTACGTGCGCAGGTGCTGTGCTGATCCTCATCATCGCTACTGTACTCTATCGTCAAAAGTACATGTGGATGGAGAAGCTGAATCGATTCCGGTCACATCACGATGACGATCACGAGGTGGAGGACGATGAAATGTGGGTTTATTTGGAAGGGGCAAGTAATTTCCGCTGGACTCAGAATTGCCTAAGCGGCACGTAGTTTTTATATAGAGAATGGCTTTTCGAACTTTGTTCGTTCGAATTGCTATGGCCTTCGAAAGCTGTCATGCAAGTGGGGTTCGACAAAAAGAAACTAGGTCGAGATTGTTCGCGTCCCCTACTCGGCCGCATCACGACTTTGTAAATACCCTCGCTTCAAAGACCAAAATTGCTGCAATTGCAGAACATTGACGTCCCATCGCCACACGTCAATAGATGTTCACAATCGGCATGCACGTTTAATTGGGGGGTGCGTGACTATACAATCGTGGCAGTAAGTAGGTCGCCGCGCCGGCCGCCGCAGCCAGCAATATCGCGGCGAATTTGCAAAGAACTCAGCATCCAAGCATTGGGGAATGTAAGATTAGATCATGTTTCCCGTTCATGAAACATGAAATAAGAACCACCTAACCTTTAAAATGCAGTTTCGTTTTCGCTCGCCGTTATTACATACTTATCATATCATGCTTATGTTAGAGCCTTCCTCGCCGCTACTCTGTGTCTTGATACGCAATATTCTTTCCGATTGAACCAGATTATCACTCTCTGATAGAAATTCAGGAAACTGATTAATAAAGAAGTCAAATTAAATCCTAAAGGACAACCTTTACACGGTACAGTTTGTACTGCGAGGCTTAAATCACTGCAGGGATCTTACAGTGACGCTTGCTGGCTTACTGATGTCCAGCACTCTGGTGTTATCAGTCACCTAGCCAACTTATGGGCATGGATGGATAAGAAAAGGTCCACACAGAAATCGCCGCAGCAACTGCCGCACGCGACGATTCTCGCCGCGTGAGCGGCGTGACCTCATTAGCCGACGATTGTATAGTCCGTCGCCCCCGTAATGCCAACGTCAGTAGCTTATTTTTGGCAGATTTGGCGATTTGGAAGCCGAGGGTACCCTGGAGCATCTAAATACGGACATTCCATACTAATTTTGTCACCTAATTCCACCACATTTCCCACGTTCCCACTAAGGAAAACCAATTCTGTGCGTTGATAGTTTTGCGGTGGGGGGCGGGGCGGTTAGTAGAGGCACTCAACGACTTTTTCCTCCACTCTCCACTCTCAACCTTCTGGAGGAAAACGCTAATCGACCAAGCCTTTCGAGCATTGGCCGTCGAAAACTGTGGGGCCAGCCGCGTAGTGCAACTACATTTGGTTCTGTGTTAAAGCGAGAGATTACGATAAAGTGCGTATGCAGCGTGGAAGTACATGCACCATTGGAAGCAGTAGTCAGGGGCCCAAGGAAACGAAATGTTGCGTTTTTGTGGTCAAAGGTGCGCTAGTTGCAGCGTACAAGGCTTGCCATTCCTTTCTGAGCCCCGCCACGGTCTGTGCTCCGCCCCCAGCAGCAGCGCCCTTCGATTGCCAATGTGACGAGATATTCCACTTCCAGAGTGTATCCTATAACTTTTCATGGGATGCGTGATCAATCAAAGCATGATGCTTGCTGAAATGATAGAGGCTATCAGCATAACATGTGCAAACGACCTCCTAATTGGTTGCTAGCTCGTCCATTATCGGAGGTCAACGGGCAAAGAAAGGGGTCCCATTTTGCGCCTTCTTGACGGATTTCTTTGCTTTTTTCGCCACTGGGGCATTATTCAGCATCTCCACTTCCACTATGAACCCAGTCCAAACTTATCGTAATCCCTCGCTTTAACCAAAGCCTGTCTGCCCACGTTAAAAAACGTTCGTGAGAATTGTCTGGTGAGAACTTTCGATCAGCATTGAGCTCAATGCAAGCACGAGGCGGTAGAGATTTTATGTTTCACCACCTGCACGAGAATCACCCAATTCCAGTTAAATCTCGATGAGAGACTGGTTTGGAGGGCGTTCCACTCGTGCGTCACTCGCTTCAATCTATCGTCTTCTTCACTGGATGCTGCGTTTTATTTGCTCGTAAAATCTAGCGCTATCTCGGGGCACGATTTGATGAAGGCGGTAATAACGCAGAGATTCCACAACTTTCGAAAACCAGCGAAGTGAAAACTAGGCGAAAATAGGGGTGTGCAGTCAAGAATAGCCGAGCCAACATCGTTCATCCATTTCAGGATCGACTACTGGGAACTGTCACCAGAACAGGTCATCATTAAAAACGAACAGTTGGGACATGGTGCTTATGGGCAAGTGTACAAAGGTAAATTCAGACCACAACACAGATGTTGCTATCGACAGTCCTAGTGCACATGCCTGATACAAGTTTCCTTCTTCACTTCCTCTTCATATGTTAATCTGTTCCAGGAAAGCTTATTGGTCCGTCGCCTGGAATACTGCGACACCACAAGAACGAAATAGCGCAGTTCACAGACTGCGACTGTGCGGTTAAAATGCTACCGAAGTACGCATCTGACAGCGCTAGAGCAGAATTTATGCACGAGATCGAGTTGGTAGGTAAATTTAATTCTGAATTCAATTCCGAGGACAAAAAGCGTCGTCGCTCCCTATGGAGTCAGTATGTGAAGCGAATCAGTTTTAGTTCGCTGAGCATGGCTTTTTGCAGAGGTGGGCATAAATATGGTGACAAAGTAACTGCGGACTACTAGTTTGAGCCGGAGGGGTCGAAAAGGGTTACAAAGGACAGCAACGTATGAGAAAATTTCCCTCTGAAATTATAACTTTTCTTATTAAAAATGAACTCCTATTTATTAAAAGTGAACTCCTACAAACTTGGCAATTTATTTCAAACCTTCCCTATCCCACAGAAATTGGTCCTTGACCGCGTGGCATTCTTCAAAACTTCACCTCATACTTTTTGAAGTGCAGTCATTAGCGACCCATTCAAAAGTCGTTCGCGCCCTTCCTTCAGTTTCAAAATCGACCAAAGAAATAATCCGTTACATTCAAATGAAGGTTTCTGCTTGTCAATTTTTGTGCAGCCAAAGTCGGACAAATGAGCTAAATAAATCTTTCACAAACTCAAATTCGTGAGCCAGCATACCACTTTGCTAGTAAATCCAGTTGTTATGAGTAGTGAAAGTGATGGGAACCCTTCTAAAAACTATCTTAGGTAGCATTTGGCTAAAGGCAAAGTTCGGGCTCAGACCCACCTAAGAAGCCCTTACCATGGCTAGAAGTGCTGGGTACGCAAGTGCAAAGGTAGCCACCTTTCTACATCGAAACGCGTCACTAGGACCCTAGGCGCCATGGACTTCTAACAGACTCCACCAAACTTAACATGGTCCGCCCACCGTTCGATATCTTGTCTGCGTCGCTGCGTTGATCTGCTATGCTCTACCGCTCTCCGCGCTCACATTATCTCTCATCTCCCTGCCTGTCTTTTGAACTTCTCCACAGCATGGAGCAAAATGCTCGTATTTCCTGTGTATTTCTAG